AATTTGCCTGATCTACTGACCCAGTAGTATTTTGATACATTTCTTCACAGAGGGGTGTTCGTCCGAACCCCCTGAACCCCTGTGGATCCGCCACTGAACATGGGCATACAGTAGGCTGGGGAAAGTGGGGGTGTAAATGCATTCCCTCCTCCACCATCACATAGTTTCAAAATTAGTTCCAATAAGGATTAGTAATTAAAATTACCATTAAGTTTTATTTGGAATAATGATTTGGTTCTGCATTCTAAATTTCTATGCCCTTTAATTTATTTTAACAGGCCATCATAAAGTACTATTACATAGCTCTTTGCTTTTTGTATTTTAAAGTATACATTCTTTGACATTAATTTTACTATTTACTGTAAAACATGATACTCAGCTCTGTGCTATGAGATGAGTTTTAATTAAATTGAATGAATTTTAGTTTGATTAGAGTATTGTACCATTACTGAGTTAAACGCATTAGAAACTATATATCTATCAGTTATCTCTCAGATTCTATGACTGATCATAGAGGAAGAAAATAGATTGTAGGCCTATTCATTATCATTAGTCATTCAACTATATCTATGTATATATTTTTGTTTCTCAGCTCAAATGTTAAAGGCGCTGGTAAAAAGGGTACCATCTCAAACACTCTTCTATTTGTTGGGAATCATTTGTTTAGGGGAATAATAGTCAATAAATTATTAGGGCCAGCTTTGCCTGTTCTTTTCAGGAGTGGAACAATGTATTCTATTGTTTCACACAGTAGATTCCCTTACAAACTTAATTATGTTACATTAATTCATCCTCATGTACAAGATCTAGTGTTACATTGCTTGTCAACATTCCGTGTTCTTTGTTCTTTTATATTTTAATTTAACTGTATATTACTTGAACAATAAATATAATACTGTACTTAGCATTCCGATATGTTCAATTAGTAATTTAGCTAAGTCCCACACACTGTTGATTTATTTAAACTTGCAAAATTATTGAACAGCCATTATTAATGTGATTTCTAGACATCTAGATATCAGAAAACACCAAAAAAATTCTTAAACAGCCCCAACCATGAAGGGATCTGAGGTAATTATCTTCGACTCTTCAACTTTAGTTCAATTTCAAGGGTTGGAAATGCTACTGTATGAATTTTTTTGCAAGGAACCATCCATAATTTTTATCGTTTTTCACAAAAGTACAAAACTTATCCTTTTGGTTCGGTGAGCTGGGAAGTGGCATGGAAGGCGTTGACAGTTTGAAAATAATAGTTAAATTTACCAGTATACAGTATAATGGATTATTTAAGTACCTGTGTCATAACAAGATCAAGATATCATGAGATTCTTATTCCTCGATGGAATAAAAACAAGAATCAAAATACTACTTTTGTAATTTGCATTATAAAATTATTAATAAAATTCATCATTTATTTCAACTTGCATTAAGTGATACCCAATTCAATTCAATTCATTTTATTCAGTCTATTATACATGAATATAACAGAAATGTGTTTTGAAGCTAAGCGATCAAACATAAATATAAGTATTAAGTGATGTTAGAACAGTAAGATAAACTATAAAAACATTAAAAGGCAGTAAAAAGTATTATGTGGTATGAGCATACCATATTTCTTCAACAAGTTCCAAATCTGGCCTTGACTTCAATTAATAATATTTAGTGGTTTAACAGAACCATAATGCTCTGATTACTTCCTATGTACTATAGCTGCACCTTTTCACAGACCTTAAAGCAGACAGTTTTTTGCTAACTACAGGAAACAGAAGAGCTTAGACAGATCCACAGGGACTCAAAATAGAAAATACACAATAAATTTACTGTACTCAGATAAATTATAAAGTAAAACAAAAACATAGAATAGCCCTACACCTAAATCTATGAGCTCAGGCCCATAAACAGGTTATGTTGTTGTTGTGTTTCCTATAGGCCAAATTTAACTCATAATTGTTTCTTTGGTAAGCAAAGTTTTGATACAATAATACTATTGTAGTAAATTGGTAAAAATCGGCTCCCAAAACCCCTACTGGTTACGTGCATGAAGCATTTAAACTATTGATTTTAGAGGTTGTTGCTTTTGAGTATGATAACTTATAGATTATAATAAATGATAGTAATACAGGTACATGAATATACAGTAGGCCTACTGTAACCTGTAGGTGGTTGTGTGCCAATAAACATCAGTAGATAACATTGTGTCGTCAAGTACTAACACAGAGCAGAAATATTGTCGATTGTCGATAAACTTATGCAATCTTTGTAACTAGAGTTTGGCTTCAAGGCTTATTATATGATAAAACCCTGTTGGACCCTGATCATGTGTAACCCAACCATGCCTGTGACTACAATGCCGTTTATGGTATAGAAACCTTTTATTCTTCTACTATAATGAAATAATTCATTCTCTTTGAAATATAGTACAGTACAGTACTTAGAAATGTTTGTACTGCACTCAAGATTACAGAACAGTGCCCATATAGGATGCCTTACTTTATTGCTTGACTTGATATTCTTCATTGCTGTGGTCAACAAGTTTTTAACTATACTTTTTAGTGTCTGTTATGACCAGGGGGGCACACTCTTAAATATTTCTATATGGGTAGGTGCCGCATTTACATGGGGTATTTTTGAGGACTTGGTAGTGTGGGAATTTATGGAAGAGTTTCAGCATGTATAGAGTTTATTTGCAAGGAATTAGTAGCATTTATAGAGTTTATTTGCAAGGAATTAGTAGCACAAGTGTGGGCAATACCTAGGTAAATTGGTAGTTAAAATCCCTGCTCCTGTTGGACCCTGATCATGTGTAACCCAACCATGCCTGTGACTACAATGCCGTTTATGTATAGAAACCTTTTATTCTTCTACTATAATGAAATAATTCATTCTCTTTGAAATATAGTACAGTACAGTACTTAGAAATGTTTGTACTGCACTCAAGATTACAGAACAGTGCCCATATAGGATGCCTTACTTTATTGCTTGACTTGATATTCTTCATTGCTGTGGTCAACAAGTTTTTAACTATACTTTTTAGTGTCTGTTATGACCAGGGGGGCACACTCTTAAATATTTCTATATGGGTAGGTGCCGCATTTACATGGGGTATTTTTGAGGACTTGGTAGTGTGGGAATTTATGGAAGAGTTTCAGCATGTATAGAGTTTATTTGCAAGGAATTAGTAGCATTTATAGAGTTTATTTGCAAGGAATTAGTAGCACAAGTGTGGGCAATACCTAGGTAAATTGGTAGTTAAAATCCCTGCTCCATCCCGTATCAAAGTCGCATAATTTTTCACACGATTTTAGCGAAGAATTTTTGCTAACCTCTGTGCTAAACCTACCGTTGATACATAGCCACGAAAAGTAGGGATCGTGAACAGACAGAGAGCCGCAGTTTTATTCACCATTGGGAACCTGTGCAAGTTCAGTTTGGTAGGTTACATGGCTGTAATTATAGTTCAACCGACACTGGATTTCGATAAATTGTAGTTCAAGTCCTATTATAATTTTCATTAAAATAGGTAAAGCAAGTGTCTCATGTCTTCCCTGGCTGTTATGTTGCTTTGACCATGCATAAAGTAGATTATAAAACCTCAATCAAATATCTGCATTGATTATGAACCTGTTCGATGATTTGGTGGAGAAGAAATTTGGTTAAAAATATTTTTTGTACTGTATCTCCTCAGATATTCTCTAATGCTTTGACCAATTGATCACTTCATAGTCTAGTTTTGAATCTTTAAAGTCAACCAGCAAATTTAGTTTTTAACATATTCAAAAAGCTGTTTCTCATGAACCATTTCCAATTTTTTAGGTCACACACCTTTTTTGTGTCTTAGAAAAATCAGTTAATATTTTAAAGGAAGTTGGTGGGGCATGGACCTATTATTGTGAAGCCCATTTGAAGCCCATTTGGCTTGTTTATTAATAACTTGTTGAAGGCTGCATAGATGATGACAGTCCCTGTGTCCCCCTGAATTTCGATACATGAATATTACCACATGGATTATGTCACATGATCAGTTAGTCGTATATGTCATACATAATTATTATGATGTTATATAGTTTGTCAAAAACCGAAAGGTCCACTGATTAATCTCAGATAAGAAAGTATAATACATACTCCAAGTATTGAATGCATGCCATTCTGTTGGGATTCAATATTTGAATATTAATTATGTCATCGTCAGGAATTCCTGATGACATAATTAATGTCAAAATATTGAATCCCAACATGATGGTGTGCATTTCAATATTTGGAGTATGTATTATACTTTCTTGTTATAGTTTGTGTTTTCTGAAAATGAATTCTCTAATACAATAAGAAACATGTACAAATGTTGTTTTTTCTATTTGGATTTTACTCACAATTATTAAAAAAAAATTTTCTGGCATAACATGCAAGAATAAGAACAAGGTAAAATCACAAAAATATCCAAGATCCAACTTTAAAAAATATAGCAAAAAGATATATAGCAAAGTGATAATAATAAACAGATTGGAAATCAGCATATCATTCCCAAACCATTAAGCCTAAAATCGCTTATACTGGTGCTAGAATTTTTTCTGCAGTCATTGCGTAGTTGTCCCCAATGCTATAAAGAAGACTCCCGCATTTGTCTTAATCAATCAGCGTCATCTTCAGGAGTCGGTGGTAGTGCGTAGCAAATTTATAGAAACTTTACTATAGTGTTAATTGTGGTTTTACAGAGGATACAGTATAGATGATTTTTTATTACCTCCGCCAAAATAATAGAAATTCCCCTCGTATTCAGACAGCACTAAAGAAAATATTGTACAATACCTGAATACATCGGGCGATTCCATTATTTTCTTGAGGGTTTGCTGCAGTTACACCCATCATACACAGCCTGTGTTAGTATTTAGGCACAGGGCAGAGGTAGGCACATAATGGAGTGTAATACTAGTAGATATTTAAATTCAATTTGTGGTATATTCCGTTTATTTTTCTTAAAACTTATTTTTCTTTATATTTAACAGAAACATAACTGGCCTTTACAAAATGACAGAACTTCGGGAACGAGATATTCCCCACAAGGAAGAAAATGGAATTGACAACAGTAAATTGGCAATGGAAGGCTCAACGGAGAAGGTTGGACTTAAGCGAGAAGTTACTCTCATAAGCGGTATCGCGCTGATTGTTGGCACGATGATTGGGTCCGGTATCTTTGTGTCGCCTAAAGGCGTACTAAGGCAGACAGAGAGTGTCGGAATGAGTTTGATCATCTGGTGCTTATGTGGTGTGATATCCATGTTTGGTAAGTACAGTGAGGTCTACTACTACATTAGGCACTATATACATTATGGTTCTATAAAAAAAAACAAAAAAAAAACATGGATATGATAGTATAGGAGTGCACCATATTGTATAATAAATTTATGTTTAAATATTTTTAAGCATCATATCTCCAATCAGTTATTTATTTTAATAATTCACAGATTCATTTTACAGATTATTAATATTAAATTTTAATAATGATTGATCAACCAGTTGACCTTGACAAAATTATAAATTCCTGTACTCTTTGAAACAGTTGCACCTAATAAATTATAATTGTATAAATAATCTTTATTTTAATTTTTAAAACATATTTATAGAAAAAATGACCTAGATAAGCAATGAAGGTCAGTTGATATCAGAAGCCATTTGAAAGTACATTTAATAATGTAAATTTTAATGGTGCATAAACAGTCATGCACTGGGTAGCCTGATCAATGCATAGCCCATATAAAATACAATTAAATGACAAAATCGAGAGAAAAGTGTAAGACATTGAACAAAGGCTATAGAAATTTAAAAGGATTAAATTTAACACCAGTTATACTTCCTATGAAAAGAATTATTTTACCATTAATAATGATAATGATAACAATTGTATATTAATAATTAGGGAATAAAGACAGAAAGGTATGGAGTGGGGCTGGTGGGGGACTCTGTAGTTCGGGCTGTTTACAACCATTTTTTTTTTGGCAATGTATTTATGACAAAAATCAATTTTTAGTTATTGATACAGGGTTAAACAGTAAAATGAGAGCTATAAAATGGTAAAAGAATCATTTAAATCTGATATTTCGTTATGAAGTTACAGGAGTTTAAACATACTGGTTTAAAGAACAATATTGAGAAATCAGCCTTTAAAGATTACGATTTCTGGTGTTTCTTAGCCAGAAACCATCACCAAATCGTTAAAAACTGTTATTTTAACATTGAGAATGAGGTAAACAAACAGCATAGCACGATGCATAGATATATAAAAATTAGTTTAGTGCAATAGAATAGATTTCCAAAATGTTGACATTCCAGCATGTTTTGGCCATTATCTCCGAAACAGGATTTGCGACGAGTGACTATAGTTTGGCTTGTCTTTGGCACATTTGTTGTCAGAAGATTTTTGTTTATTCACAAGAGTATGGAAGACTGCTAATTTCTGGCAGACTCAGTACTGTACCCATGGGAAACTTTAGATCTGTCTGCTAAAATGTGGAAACTGTAGACGTTCCTGTTGCTGGTTCTTATAAATAATAGAAGCAGCAGGTGCTCCACCATTCTAGTGCTCAGGTCAAATTCCATTTTAATGCATACAGTAAGGCCTATATGTTGGACTATTAGTCAAATTGTCAAACATCACCCTTTGATTGTAGTATCATTGTATTGTTTAGTCTGTCATATTGTGTACCGAGAACACTAGCCAAAGAAAAGTGTGTTGCCTAAAGCAGTCTAGGCCGAATTCTATGCTTATTTACCAACCGTAACACACCATCAAGTATTTGTAGTTAAAATGGTAGTCCATGCCCAAATAACCACATTTATTAATATCAGAGTACAGTAGATCCTCATTTTTACGTACCCCAGTTATACGAACCCTCCGTTTTACGTACGCCTCGTATC